GATGTCGAGATATCGGGTTACAAAGTGACAAATTCATTTTTGAAATTTCCGGTAATATACTGTAGGGGTGTGTATATCGAAATTTTATGTGCAAATTTTCTTATAGTTGTTATAAGATTATTGTATATCGATATACCACAATTTATTGATAATTTTGCTGTACGACACGAACTTCAGTTCCAATAAATTCATTGATTAGATTCGTTATATGGTTGATTAATTAATTTATTTTGAGTAATAATAAATTCGACTACCAAAATCTTAAAGTTACAATCGTTAAGTTTTTCGAAGGGTTTAACATTGCAAATATGTTTTAAATAAGGCAAAAAAATCGTATGTAAACAGTTGTTCTTATTTTAATTGCTCGCCTACTCCGTATTACTTGATCTTGCAAATAATGTTTCTCCCACGAAGGTTCATTCCTAAATATTGAAACTGTCTTCTGCATAAAGCGTATGACTCTGATGGCTGGGATACTATTGAACAGGTTAACGAATTTCAACACCTTAATAGAATTTATAAAGACGCACATAGTTTCGTGTGTAATTTTTATACAAAAGATTTTCCATTAATTTTTTTAAATATAGGAATCGTTTTACTTAAATTTTGAGTTGGAATAAATTTTTCGGAGAAAAATTACTTTGAAAAATTGCTGTTCCTCTGCCCCCTGCGCATTTAAAAAAAAACTTTGATTGCCTGATGTAAATAATCACAGTGTATCTTAAAAATGTTAGTTACAATATAAATTTTTTTGAATAAAACATGAAAACACGCCTGTTGACAAAATAAACATAATTATATATATATGTTTATTTATGTTCGTTAAAAAAAACATGCTTATACATGTACTAAATTTGATGAGCATCCAACAATCCAGGTCCGAATCCCATTGAATATATGACAGATCCTGAAAAACTGATTAGATAATAACAAGAGATCGTTTATGTTGTGTAATTTTTGGGATGAGAATTACTTGTTTTGTTCGAAACACACCGTAACCTTATTTTAACCAACCACATTATGTCTCTTCAAAAGTGAAGAGTGGGGTCCGAATCAAAAAGTTTAAAGGTCCGAGTAAAAAATTAGAGATCCGAGTAAAGATTTTACTTGAGTCTGACTCTTGATTGATGTAGATCAGCAAAAATTCGTATATATAGCCGGATGAGAAAGCGCAGGATGAGAGAGAAAAACCAAAAAACCAAAAAACAACGATAACAAAATAAATACAAGCATGTCGAACATATTTTTTCCCTCGTTTCCACCAAGCATCTCCGTAAATGAGTTAATAAAGCCTAGGAATCGTAAACATAAACAGCCAGCCAAAGCGCCTAACGCATTTATGATATATCGAATTAACTATTGTCGCGAAATTCGGAACGATCGAAATATCTCTCAGCCAAAAATTTCTTCTATGGCAAGTCAAGCATGGGAGCAAGAGTCTCAAGATGTCAAAAGAACATACTTCGAGTTTGCCAGACAGGCTAAAGAGATTTATTTAGCCCGGAATGCTGAAAATCACGTAATTGATGACGGAGATATCGGTAGCAGTCAATCACAAAATGAAGACGTTCAAGTGCTAACCGAAAGCGACACCTTGATCAATATTCAACCAAACAGAATTACTGAGGATATTAATACTCTCGTATCTGAAACCGAAGAGACATCTTTTGATAATTCTAACTTTAATATCAACCTTATGCAATCTCGCATTGCTTTTCTTGAGAGCGAACTCGTCTCAATGAACGTTAGGTTCTCTCATGTTACTACTCTTAAGAACGAAGTCGTCTCAATAAATGCTAGGCTCTCTCATGTTGTTACTCTTGAAAACGAGTTCGTCTCAATGAACGTTAGGCTCTCTCATGTTGCTATTCTCGAGAACGAACTTGTATCAATGAATGCTAGGCTCTCTCACGTTGCTGTGCTCGAGAATGAACTAGCTTCATTGAGACAAACTATATCAGAATTAAACGCTCAAATCCAATTTTTAATTTTATCTAGCATTTAGTTATATTAGGTATAGCATTAAGTTATATTATGTATAGCATTAAATAGAGTTTTTTATATCGTAAAGAAAAAAGACTCGTGTCAATTTTGCTTTAATATGTGATTAGCTACTAGAATTATGTAAAGTAAGACTTTAATTAACTTACATGTATAATTATATATATACCTCAACAATAAAGATAAATTTTATTATAAATCAGAGTCGGGTGCTAAACTTTACTTTAATTTAAAATATCAAACAAACAATAAATAAATAAACTCTGGATATTTCTTGAGCTAACACCATACCAAGCAATCGAATCTCTTTATAGTGTTTATAGTAAAAATTTTCGAAAATCTACTATATTGTGAGCTTATTATTACTACGTATATTGAACGGAATTTTATTGTAGATATTAATCCATTATCTTGATATTTTAATTACCTAAAGAAAACTTTAACGTTTTAAGATGCTATGCACTGAATTCTCGTGTTTCGTCTATTTATAAGAGCACCAATTTCCAATTAAAAAACGATAGAACGGGCTCAGAAACTTTTTTTTAAAGTAAAACTCAATACTGGAAAATTTTTACTCATTAGAAAAGGAAAGTTGAACTCGATCAATGCCTTGATCATTATATATGTTATTATTCGTTGCACCACTAAAAACCTGTGTTAAACTTTAGTGAAATTTATTCAGTAAAACATTTATCAAATGAGTAAATTCGATATTTACAGTGGAATTTCTTCAAAAATCCTTATTGCTAAAAGAATGAGTATGGGGATAAGTGGCAAAGTTTTACAGTGAGAACATTATAAGCGGTAGTCTCCACTATAAAGAACTTATCTACGTCTGGTTGCGCATAAATTAAAAAATTCCGTGATATTTCTCTCATAAACTTTTAAAAAAAAACTTGTTTATTAAGCTCCATACAAGTAGACCTCTCTTAGTCGAACACGAAACCTTTTATATCAACAAAATTTGGCTGCACAAAACATATAGGTTTAAATCGAAAACCTCTCTTAGTCGAAATTAAAGTCACGTGCAAATACGTAGTCGCAAAAATATTTTATTTCTGTGTACACCTTTTTTAGAGCAGCTAAAATATTCCTATCAAATATGACCACCAACTTTAAAAAAAACTTACGGGCATGTAATTAAAATTTTAAGCAAATCAAAAAAAAGTGGATAAAAATTTTAAGCAAATCAAAAGAAATGGATAATTAAAAATTTTAAGCAAATCGGAAGGAGAGCGGTTAATTACACAACTAAAAAATTCTAAGCAAATCAAAAGAAGTGGATAATTAAACATTTTAAGCAAATCAAAACGAAAAGAAGAGATAATTAGTTCAACGTCAATATCAATATAAATTAAGAGAATATAAATTAAATATAAGTTTAAAAGGAGTATAATAATAATGAAAACGATAATGCAATCATTTGCGTCAAAATGGTTTACTTTATTTTGTCAATGGTTCGGGTTACGTTACATCCATCACTACATGTAATTTGTATGGAAAGATACTATGGAACTCTGTGTATCACGAAAGGCATTATCGTTATGGCGTTTAATATTGATATACATGTATGTGCATGTATTAAACTTCTTAAATAATGCTCGTTGTTAGTACATGTAATACTGAGTATAAAGAAAAAGGAGAATCAGTTGATATCGATATTGTTTTGTGCTGTATAAAAATAAATAAAGAGAATCATTAGATCCGGATTTGTTACAAGTATAAGTCACTTGTAAATTCAAATCGTTACACCATCCTGAATTAAAGATTAGAGGATTAGTCATACGTTTCTATGCAAAAATATTTTGGTGGCAAAAAAAACTTAATACAAGTATTTGAACATAGATCAATAACGTTGCATACTCATTATTTTACAGCTATAGATTCTAAACAGAAACGATATAATTTGTAACTGTCTAAAAACTCTCTAAATTCGGTAATTTTGGCTGATGATCGACATAAAATTGGCCAGAATTATATATTTCTAATTGATGATGTATTTTACACCGACAAGTGAAATTGTTTCAATTAATAATAGTATTCACGAGCCACAATCACAAGTCTTGACAAATAACAGATGAACCCTAACAAGTGCATCATGAAAAAGATATTTTTATTTATCTCAATCTGTTTTTTCTCATACTTTACATTTTATATATTTTGTAATTTGCATTTATTGGTAAAATATGATTCAGAAGTGCCATTTCTTTCGAGCCCTTTTTGGTCTGTTTATGGTGCATAACACCTAAAGTCATCAAATATTTGTATTTTATAAAATGTATAAACTTATTTACTAAGAAGTAATTATAAAATTTAATCCGTGAATAAGCTCAGAAAGGATCTATTTTATTATGTTCATATATTAAATTTTGTATTTACTTTTTAGCAAAGAAGTTATACATTTTATAAAATACAAATATTTGATGACTTTGAATGTTATACATTATATATTTGCCATAAATTTGACCAAAATAAAAACTTAAATCTCAAAGTAATTTGACTAATTGTTATTATTTGAAAATTAATTATGTATTTTTGAACTTGTATTAAATTAATAAAATAAAAAGTTAAATTTTAAATTTAATTTTTAATTAAACAAAGAAATTTTTATTTGAAAATTTTAAAATTTACTATATCAGAAATGAAGATTTTGAATATCATATATTATATCAAAATAAGCATTTTTATAATTTATGTAGTTTATAATTAAGCAAAATTGCTAACTATTTTATAAAATTTATTATTATTTTTAATAACAAATTTAATCTATAATAATATAATTTACAATTTTGATCAGTAACTTTATAAAAAATATACTTTTAATTTTATTAAAACTGGTTCAAACTAATAATTTAAACCATAATTCAAACTAATAATTTAAATAAAATTAATTAATTTATTATCAAAACAATTATATTTTTTATAATAATAACTTATTTTTAAATTATATGTTAATTAATTTTGCTTAAATTTCAAAAAAATAATTATATCAAAAATTAACAATTTAAATAAAATAAATATATTAATAATATATTTAATCAAAAAGAATATATTATATTAAAAATATCATCAAAAAAATCTAATACTTACAATTGAATAATATATTAAATATAAATTTTAAGCTATTAAGTTTTAAATATATTTTGATAAATCTGATTTATTTTATATTATCAGAAAAAGTAGATTCTTAATTATTAATTAATAATATAATTTTTAATAAATTTTTTACTAAATAAATAAAAATTATTAAATATATTTGATATTATAAATAAAAATTTTATTAATATTATTTTATATATTGTTGTATAATGACCTTTCGTTATAACATTTAATATTATTGAATTATAAATATCTCATATTTTATTGAATAAAGATTATATCACGTGAAGCGAACGAACAAGCGAGCGAACAAGCGAACAAACGAACAAGCGAGCAAACAAGCGAACGAGCGAACGAACGAGCGAACGAATATTGGACCAATAGAATTTAAGTAATATTGCGAAAATGAATTCGTATAGCCTAGAAATTATATCTTGGATTTGTATAAAAGCAACATGTATCGTAGTTGTT